GCTCAAGTTTAGAACGATTTGGCAAGCCTAGATTGCCTCAATTCTATCCATGAAAGTATGCATTAATATAAAAACATATTGTTCTTGGCTGCTTCAGATTATATTTTGTAGATACATATTTTTAACAACGAAAATTTTACTGACACCGGCGCTGTCCCTATTGAAGCTAATTAGAAGAATTTCAAATTGTCGTCCATTGTTCGATGTCCAAACATCGATGACAAGTGAGGATGCCATTTAGTAATCGTTGATGCCGCGCTACACTATAATAAAAATTATAATCAAGTCGACTAGTATGTACATTACTACAGTGAACATGTACAAGACCAGGCCCTTAGTAATATCAATACTAATATATTATTGTGTGATGAATTTAACTGGATAAGTGGTAACATGTGATATTAATATTCCATCAATTTCTTTCCTGGTTGGTCCATCCATGTCTACAAAATGAAAATAATACAATTAGAATGGAGCACAGAACAATCTAGACTTTCCCAATCATTATAGACTTGAGTTCCAGTTTTGACTTGTCTTGTTCCTTAAAGTGAGTTTAAACATGTAAAAAGTGATTTACCCTACAATACAGGGTCATATACTCCAACGTTCTAACTGTCAATCGTGTTAACAGGACCATAACTTTTGTTATGTATCGACTCGCTGTCTCTATGTCTTAAGTTGTAAATTGGTAACTGCGGTACAAATATAACATCTATTGTGGCAAACCTGACTGATTTGTTTACACAATAAAAACTCTAATTGATCATGAACTACTGAGGCAGTCAAGCACTTGTATAATAAATGGAAAAGCAGCCATGTCACATGTAGTCGTAAAAGCTGGCAATTATTTCGCCGCAATATATCTGAAAAAAATGCTGATGTGACGTGACATTTAAACTTACCCACAGACAAACCATTTTTCAAGAGAGTGTAGCACAATTTTATTGAAGTTTTATTTACAATTTGATAGACTATTATAACATGAATATTGATATTCATAATCACTTGTCAAGTTTACTAAAATGTCACTCGTTCGAAGATGTCACAGATAAACAAGGATTCTAACTAAGTTTAATCGTATTTGACACAGGTTTATACCCACTTTGCCAGCACACTGTTGAGGATTAACAGTTACTCTGATCGAGTGAGCGTGGTTTTAAGCCACTTTTAGCAGTTATTGTCATGACAGAAGTCATGCCAGGAACGCCCACAGTAGTAAGTGAGTAAACTCAACTAAGGATTTTACAAGTATCCATCACAACCTATGAAAGCTAACATGTGAATAAACTCAGTTCATGGAAATTTAAATAATTACGGCGCTTGCAGTAACCAGTTAAAAGTAATCAGTAAGGTAGTGTATAAATTCTGGGAACGCTAAAGGGTTTTAGGTGATGTGGGTGTTCCCCACTTGTAGGTTACTTAATTATGATGAGGACATTTATAGTGAGTGAGTGTGTTGGGTTTAACACCGTTTTGAACAAGATTCCAGTTATATCACGGCGTGTCAACTGAATGTGGGAGGAAAGCTCGAAGTGATGCAGGTCTCAGAGTATGGCATGGGTTTGGTGCTGACAAACCTAGAAACATAATCGGGGTGATCCGGGATTCGAACCCACAATCATAGGTTTCTGTCATGACCAAGGGACGCAACTCCGCACAGTGAATTGCGGCGCCTTATACGACTGGGCCACCAGTGCCCCCTGAGAACATTTATAGATCGTATGTTGATATTTAGAAAGAAGAATCACATGATGATAGCAATAAGAACAAATCCCCCCAATAAAGTTCCTTATCTAACATTGTTGGGGCAAGAATCACTGTACTGATAATCCCTGTCCAACACATTGTCAGTGGATATTCAGCTTTGGTGTGGTCCGATCCATTTATTACCTCGCAATGCTTGTACTTTGACACAGACGTTCATCCATGGTACGACACGGAATATGTAGAGGGCGTCATGGGAAATGATAAATACAAAATTCTTTGGAATAGGCCCGTATACAGCCTCAGACGTATCCAGGCCAAAAAAACTGATCTTATCCTTTTTGACAAATCCAATGAAATCATTTATATCATTGCAGTTTTCTGTCCCTTTTGACACTGATGTGATTGACAAGATTGAGGAAAAACATGGCAAATATGAGGACCTCGCTTTCAAAATGTCACGCTTGCATCCCAATTACCAAGTTGTCCGATTCCCCATTGTTCTTGGTACCTTCAAATCTATTGACTGACATTGGGAGAGTTCCCAGGTTTGTTACCAGGAATACAGTCCTTCTGACAATCTGGGTAATGCAGAAGGCTGCAGTGTTGGGGAGTCTTTACATTCTCTGAAAAGTTCTGGGTTGGTTTGAAAAGGCAACGCTTTCTAGGAGAAGTCCCATTCGGTGTCTTGGCTGCGTGTGGAGGGGGCAAGGGCCCTGAGCTGATGATGAGCCTAACCAGCCTGACTGTGCCAGGATCACCCAAACCCTCTTTGTTGCATTTTTTATTTTAATCTGTACGTCATCATCATAATAATAATGATAATAATAATTATGATGAGCCTAACTAATGACTGCCAGGATCACCCAAATCCTCTTTGTTGCATTTTTTAACATTTTAATAAGTAAATAATGATATAATAATAATAATAATAATAATAATAATAATAATAATATATACATCTGGAAGTTGCTGACTAGCACTTGAACGAAGGATTTAGTGTTTATAGGGCTTTGTGGGAATAGGAATTATTGAGAAAAAAATGTTCAGATAATTTAATGAAAAATACAATATCAACCAGCCCTCTCCTGTATCATAAGACTGCCTACATGGTCTAGTGGTAGAGCGTCCGCCCTGAGAGCGGAAGGTCCGGAGTTCGATCCCCGACCGCGTCATACCAAAAGACGTTTAATGATGGTACTTGTTACTACCTTGTCAGGCGCTCGGCATTAAGGGGCTAAAACAAGGACTGGTCGGTTTGGAGTCAGTAAACTGTGTCTGAGTGGGGTATTCACTGTGGTTAAACTGCGACATGGTATCTCAGTGAGCTAGCACTATAAATCAGCATCAGTCCGGACTGGTACAAGCAGCCACCTAAACATACACACACACACACACACACACACACGTACATGCACGTCGCTATATAAGTGCAATGATCTTTGACGCGACGTTCAAACCCATTTCTGCCTACTCACCTGTATCATAATTGAAGACATCTGTGACAGCCCATTTTACACTGGCCGAGGACAACTGACAAACTGTATCACTACTTTTGAATGTTTGTTTGAATAGACCGGTTTTAATCTGTCCTTTAAAGCCTGTCTTGCAATTGATTTGTCACGTCTGAGAAGCTAGGTCGTTCCACAGTTTTGGTGGTGCAGCTGCAAATGCAGTGTCTCCCGTGCTGCTGGTTCTTTGTGGACAGCAGAAACAGAACTTGTCTGACGAACGGAGACTTCTCAGATGAAGTGAGTGAGTTAAAATTTAGCGTCGCATTGGCATTATTTCAGCCATATAGCAACAAGACCAAGTTATGATATTCACAATTTAGTTATATTCAAAAACTATTTATGAAACATATTTAAACATACAATATTTAAAAACAATTTATAAAATATATTTGAGCATGACAATATTATGTGTACATTTTTAAAACACGGGCTATGGGCCACCAGTAACCAAAGCTAGGCCACCTCGCTGGGGATCATAGGGACTTACAGTACCTCTGCTTCCTGCATGATACCCCAGCAGGATTTACGTCATCACTTATCTACTGGTGGTTGTGCACAATACTAGCCAATATTAAAAAAATACTCAGCAATGAGTTGGCTTAAAAACACTGGTTGATGATAGTTACTTCGATTATGATAGGATTACGTGTCACACAGGGTGACAATAATTCTACAGTACTTTAAACTCCTGGACAGAGCCTTCAATAATGTCAGTTGATAATAGCATCACACCAAATTTAAATACAAGCATTATATTATTCACATACATATCTAAAATTTATTATACAGACCAATTTCTTTCAGATAATTTAAGATGATATACATGCTGACACGGGAAAGAGATCTTTCAGATTTACGCTTTGAAAATGTGAATCACTTGCGATTGCAAAGTCCACACAGACAAGCAACATATGCTTGACGGTGAACCTTTCATCACAAGGGACCAATGAAGTGACTGTAGGCCCAGGTGATGTAGTCGTTGTGTCGAGTACGTGTCACTGATATGGTTGTTGTTTTTTTGTGATGAGGAAGAGTTTTCACTGTCGTATTGTAGTGAAGATAACTGCAGCAGTCAAGTCGGCAAAGTTTTTTGTTTACACAAAACATGTAGTGTTATAGCATTATTACATGAACGATGATGAAGAGGGTAGCTGATAATGACGTAAAATAACTAAGAAACTACAGTACAAATACAACCCTTGCTAAGTTACAGTAGCCAACACAAATCAGAAGCTTTCAAAGTATGTAAATATCCAAATTACAAATTGTTTAAATTAACACTTAAGTTATGATTATAGAGCATTTGTCCATGGGAAACAATACAAATCTAAAGAAAGAACTCGATCTTGTGTCCTGGTTCAAACATGAAAGCCTTCTGTCTCAGTGTAAACTTGTGTTGCTGATTATGGGTTCAGATGCCAGAATGTGGCTCTTAGCAACATAGTACGGAAGTGCAAAATATGTGTACAGCTAGTGTCTATAATGTATATAGTCATACTCTTGTGTGTATGATAACGGTCAGATGTATTGAGAAAAAATGTCTTTTGTATAGGATCTGACAGTTTCGTAGTTTATACGATATTTTACAGTAATTGGTTTCTTACATGCACACGAGGTACACTACATGTACTTAAGCATGACCTTCCTTGTTGAAATGTTTTGTTTTCGCTTTTGTTGCAAAAAAAGCACTTTCACAAAGAATACACATTCTGTGTTTTGTAAGTCATACATATTTTGTAATTCTACCTCTTGTCAATCTTTCATAAATCTTCTCTTTTCCAGTGCCAACATCTGAGCATGTCAGGGTCGGCAGCTATGCCACGTTGTCCTGGACTCTCCCGGAGCCTGGGACCAGGGAGTTCAGTGTGTGTAACAGTGAGACAAAGACATGCCTTCTTCATGTCACAAGCCACAATCATGTCAGAGCTGCCAGTGACAAGTTCACATCTAGAGTGAGATTTATTGGAAACGTGTCATCATCGGGAGCTGGTTTGTTTAGATTCGTGCTCTCTGATGTAACTTGGGAAGACGAAGGTCATTACAAGTGTTACAGAGGCTCACTAGGCTCAGGGGGACCAGTCATCCCTGACTGTGGACAGAAGCTGATAGTGCAGGGTAAGTAATATTCAGAGAGTTCCATCTACTCTCCGTTACCTACCAAATGCCTGACATGTCACTGTGATATTCATACTATTTGATCATCTTGAAATCTTGATTAGCTTTCTTACAATGCATGAGTTGGTTGACATTTTAGAAACTGTTGAATGCCACGACTAACAAATATATAGATGAGTCTTTTTCAAAATTTGTAAGATATTTCGTACCTATGAATTGCAAAAAAAGGAATATTTCTTTTCCTTGATTAATTCTTTCCACACCAGTCAACCAGAAGTGTTTACTGCTGGGACACAGAGTTCCCAGAGACTTGTATGTGATAGATGAAGCCAACATTTATCAAAGAAAATATCTTTGCTACTACATATTATACACCATTTGAAAGGTCTGATCCTATGGTTTACAAATATGATTGTCATGTTTATAATTAATTAAGTTCGTTGTTAACGTTGATAACGTTGATAAAATTGACGATTTTCGGCAAATATAAGATTAAATAAAATCATCCTACCTATTTCTGTTTTATTTTCATTGTTCACGTAATTGGAATATCATTTTAAAAGAATGATAAATAATATCTGTTGTCACCCCTTTCCCGATAACAGCGCCTGTCCTCTCAGTAACATTAAGAAATACCCCCGTTTTCGAGGCTTCGTATGAATAACACGTTCGTCGAAGACTGGCATATGACACATCGCTAGAAAGCTTATTCCTTCATCTACAAGCTCGTAACATCGCCTGGAGTTTTATGTAGTTACACGATTCGATAGCGAGTTCTCTTCTTGCAATCTCACCAACATGGTTTACTGATCTCACTTTCTTCTTTGTTTTCCACTGAAGCCATGTTGTAGGTTCATTAATATCCCGATTCATCCCAAGAATACTTATTGCCTTTGCACAAAACTTGTACTTCCTTTCTTGAGGTAAAAGATTTCTTCATCTTTCCGTTTCCTGTCTTGTAGCTGGTCTTTAGTTCCTCCAAGAGAGCATGGTGAACATCCTATTTTTTTCGTTACAGTTTTCACAGATCCTTTTCAAACTATGTTTTTAAATCTGGATATTGGTGTTTCAGACAGATGGTTTGCCTTCAGAGATTGATGTAATATCTGCCTCAAAATTGCATTTCGTTTCCTTGGCGTTTACTCCTGAAGATTACTTCTCAAATAAGCATCTTGTTTGTAACACCTGTAGTCCAGCAAATAAGCATCAAAATAGTTCAAATCGTGATAAAAGCATGAAATTTGGGATGTAGGTCCATTTTGTAACCCTAACTAAAATAAAAGCAAGACCCACTCGAAAAATGCCCTTTAATGGCGGCAATTTTGAATTTCAAGATGGCCGCCATTGACATTTACGTTTGTTTTGTAAATTATCATGTGTAATGTACCTGAATAATCATTTAATTAAATACTTTTCAAAAATATATTTCAAATTGATATTGTTAGTATATTCTATTATATTTGTGCTTTGTTTTGTTATGGCATCTTCTCAGACTTTCATTAAGTTTTTGAATTCCTATTCGGTGATTACAATTTTCTTTGATGAAAACTTGGGTTTTTAAAAAAATTGAATTTATTGCCCAATCGTACAAATAAGAAACAAGGATTGTATTCAGAAGAATATTTAATAATATTTAACTTTGAAAAAGTTACATCAACTGTTTTTATGAAATTTTGAGGAAATCTAGCAGCATTGACCTTCTCTTAGTTAAAAGCTCTATCATAAAGCATATGTCTATGGCAGAACAGAAACTTTACAATTATTAATTCATTTTAAAACTTTAATTTCACCAATGAGTTACTGAAATCATAACTATTGAAATATCAATAACAATTTACACTGTATCTTGCTGACAGCTTCCCGCACATAAACAGAGCGCAGTACATGGCAAATTGGCTTTAGAGCATTTGCATTGTCCTCTACATGTTTTTTTAACAATTGCAGTGGATCAGTTCTTGACAGGCTTTAGAGAACAGGGGATAACCATTACCAGTATTTTAACCACATTGGGATTTATTATATCAATTTTAAAATCTTGCATTAACCGGGGACGGTGGTACATGCAGTGGTACACCTAGGACGGTTGGTGTAAAACGGTGGATAAAAAGCATTTAAAGGCAATATGGGAAGCAGCAGGAAAGCTCGCTGGGAAAGCAACGCCTGCACTTTCGCCGGTATAATCGTAAGTTTTGCTAAGACAACCACTTGGCTCAGTCAAAACTTCTGGGCAGTGATTGTAGCAATTGCCGGGCTGTTGTACGTATCCCCTAAAGACTATTTATCCAAATCATGAGTAACCTGTAGAATGTTTTGACTCCACCTACTATAAGTGCTGTTTTTTCATCATTATGTTGTTGATTTTGAGACTCAATATGTGGCTGTACTACTTGCGGCTGTTGCACTTCTGTTACAGTAGATGACATAAGTTTTAGTTTTCCTGGTTTGCCTGTAATTGTTTTTGTTTTTATTTCGGTGTTAATATCTGAATATATACCTGTTTTTGTTGTTGATCGGAAGCAATAACAATTTCATTTTTATATTATATTAACTTTACCAATCTTATGTTCCATGTATAATCCTGCCCTCCGAAACGTAGTCTACTTTGGATTGAATGTACTGTAATACATCTTGATAACGCTTTATAGAAGATGGTATGTCAACTGGTTAAGCAATAGCATCCTGTACATTTGCAACAAACAGTTTTTGTTCATCAAGCGCCGTCCCAGAACCAATTATTCCTGTTCGTGTTAGCGACTGTGCACCAAAACTTGCCCATATATAAGTTCTTATTGATTAATTTACTCTTACAACTCCTGGGTTAGTAAAATTATTTTCTGTTTTATCATTAAGACATTTATTCCGTTTTATCATTAAGACATTCATTCCAAGCGTTTGCGGTATCGTTTTGTTGCACAAATTTTGTAACATTATAAGCTAAACCACCCTTAAAACTCATAAGATCTACTCTCCAATCGTTACTTGAAAGTTCCCAGGCATGATAAAGATTATGCATTTTAACAAAAAGATTGCTGTTCTGTATCAACTTAAATGGATTGAATGGTTGATGAGGTTTTTAACCAAATCATCACTTTCTTCTTTAACGTTTTTTTTTGGCCATTGTACGGAATACCTAGACCATGGTTAAGGCCTTTAATACGCCAATCTCTACTCGTAGAAATATCAAATTCCTGACAAATACGTTCATATGCGAACCAATTGTACAGATTATTTGATGCATTCCATGTTTTATCCTGCGGTAATGGGGCGCTAATTTCTTTAAGTATACGCCTAATCTGATAGTACACATTAAATGATAAAACAGACTTATTTAGTTCAATGCCGGCGGCATAAAGAGATACACCACATCCTTTTGTGGCACACCATATTGCAAAGTTTAACTGGTTTTGCCAAAATTGCATTGGATTGTTGAACGAATCATGCACCATTTTGTCGCTAGTTGCTGTGAACCTGTATTTTTCGAAGATATCAGGGAAATGAACAAGAAACTTAGCACGAGATGCTCTAAATAAAATCGACTTGTTCGTAATGTAAGTTGATTTCATATTTAATTTATAATATTGTTTCTTTGTATATCTATTCTGATGTTACACTCCCAGGAATAACAAATGGTCAGTCTATTCAACTGCTTCACACTATTGACAACTCGGCTGGGCAACTTCAAGTTGCTCTCTGAGATATAACGTATTACCCACTGTTGACCAATATAAATGCTGCGAGAGGTAATAATATCTTATTACTAGATTTAAAACTTCCTACCATACCTGATGGGTATTACATCGTATGCTCAATCAATGATAAATTTTAAGCCTTTGGGAGCTAACCTCACACTAAATGAGTCTAATGGGGTGCTGATTTTAAGTAGTGCAGAACATTCTATGATACTTGAAAGTGGCTTAGCAAATACACTTGGATTTATAAGCAGCAGTGCGTGGAGTTAAATCACCTAATATAGTTTCCTATCAAGAATTGTGCATCCATCTTAATCAGATCAACACAATGGATAATATTCAACTCGAAAGTCCTTCAACTCTGCTGGGAGCTATTCCAGTCACAGATCAAAAATACAATAGTGGTAGAACAGAATCTTTCTCATCATTACAACACAAAAAGTTAAGGCAGGGTATTATAACAGATCTCAAAATTTCTGGATAAGATGTAAAACATCAACCTGTACATATAGGATATTTGAGTGTGACACTCCATGTAATAAAAAATAATCGTTGATTCTTCAGGACCTTAAAGGCATAACCTTAGTCAATGTAATACATTTGCACTTTCCGATCTTGGGGAGACAGAAGTATTTGATTTATTGGGGTATGAATCTGGCCTAGGTGACAGTGAGCTAGAACCGCCATTCCCTATACTACTAATGCCTTGTTAATACTAGCAGACGTAGCCTGGCTCCACCTTTGCACAAAATGTTGTTATTTTAATGTCATCTGAATCGATGTGTGTTTCATTTGTCATTTTCAGTTTAATATGTCGAGAGCAAAGAGAAACTAGAGATCCCGAAATCTGACATTGATCTTTCAGTAAGTGCAAGTGTCACCAGATATGATGTCACAGACACAATAATAAGTCTGCTGATAATCCTCCCTTTATCGGAAATTAACAGTAAATTTCAAATTGTTTGATCTTTCACATCCAGGAAACGCACAAATCACTACATAAGAGTAACCACCTCTCATATGAAATTTGACATATTAGTATCACACTACTTGCTGTCATAACCTGGAAACAGTAGTAGATGTATCAACTAACCCGCCCCCACCCCCTGTCTACCTAAATGGAATCAGATGTTTGCAACTGTCTGATGCATAAATTATTAAAATACTCAATAAATAGTTTTAGCTTTACTTTAAAATACCAATTGGGATTTTTAAATGATTTTTGCTCTTACATTCATATAGGAGAGTTTTGAATTTAGAACGATTGCATATAAAATTCAAAATTTATTTAAGATATGAAAATACTCCCTTGTTTTCGTATTGATCCTAGCTTTGTTAAGCCTAATTAGTATCCCCGCCTCGAAGGGGAAGGGGGATTTAGGAATGGGTGCCGTCCGTCCGTCCATCTGTCCATAGTCCGTCCGTCACGTTTCGTTTCCGGAGCAGAACTAATAAAACACGAGAGATATCTTAACCAAAATTGGTACATAAATAGGTCAAGTGGTGAGCTGGTGCATTTTGTTAGATTTAGGATTTTTTGAAAAACTAATTTTCGAATTTCCCCGGCAACGACTTTGATTTAGACTGAAAATCACCAAACTTGAAACAGATCTTGAAAACCGTACAATATTTCTTCACCAAACTTGGCACAAAAAAAGGTCCAGTGGTAAACTGGTGCCTTTTCATAGTTTTGGATTTTTGAAGAAAAAAAAGAATTTGCCTTAAGTGGTGCCTTTTGATAGTTTGGGAGTTTTTATGAATGTTTCTTTAACAAGTGCATAAATCGTTTACACATACTGCAAAAGCATCTAGGCAGGGTTGTCTGAAAAAGGTTAGCATAATAACCTAATTGAGATGTATACCACTTGACAAAGGAACTTGAATAAGTAATATGGTGAATTATTGTGGAAACACAATTTACAAGTGGCACCCGAACCAGCCTTCTTCATCGCAGTGCATGGTGGTAACATGAGCAGTGGCACCCGAACGAGCCTACATACTTGCAGTGCAACACCAGTAACAACTTTTGTAGTGCTTGCAATTAGGCCATTTACAAAAAGGTCCAGTGAACATAGTTCACACGAGCTAATGCCTTGCACACAATCGGACATGTCATATTGGCGGGGGATATGAGTACTTCATGCTTGTTTACATACAGATAAAACAACAGAAAGCAAGAATATATAGATCGTTTGAAGATCTGTCTGATTCGCTTATCGAGTGGGTTTATTTACTTACCCATTGTTGGATACATTGAACTCTTTCGAACTTTAGGGAGAATGTAAAAACAGCTCACACAGAGGTTCCAGCTAAATATATTTTTAACGCAAAACACATGCTTTCAATGTGTGTAAGTTTTTGAAAGTCACGTCTCACAAAATGTATCGACTTCAAAATACTTCATCTCTT